CCCCACACACACACACACACACACTTCTAACACTTCAAATAATCCTGGATCCGCCCCTGCACATATTACCTGTTGTCAATGTTCAATCACGTTCTATATATCGATGCATTTTATTTAAATGCTTTTATTACTTGTATTTTGAACGAATAAGATACTTCATTCGTCCAAGCTTGTGTGCATAGCTCGGAGGAAATCATTATCCCTTAATACGTAAACCCACCTGCTACATAAACATAGTAACCCACGTGCTATGACGCACTTGTCCAATCAAAAGGCTGTACTGAGACACACCTCCGTGAAAAGGTCAAGGTCATTTATTTGGAGGTAATCGAGCTGGGACATAATTTAACCGGGTCAACAAAGCTGCATTTAACACATTTCTCGTCCTGTTATAGCGTTCATATTACGCAAATAGACACATAAGGTGCTTGGGACATAAGACGTGGTCAGAAATTGAAAACACCCAGAGAAAATACGAAGCAAAATCAGTGTTATGACGACGGGCATACGAGCGTCTGCTCCTCATATTCTTCGATACGGATTACGTCGGGTCGGCAATCAGAGACTTTATAAAACAGGGGTGCGTTTGATCCAGTTTTCCCCACACACGCCAGGACAGCGTCTCCCTCTGTTAAGCCGAGGCATCTCCAATGTGGACGTAGAGAACAGGAACGGAGAGGAGTCGGAATGGGTGGCGGACCTGGCGCAAAACCTCAGAGAAAGAAAGTAGGTCACATGCTTATACATGTACATGGTTAATGTCATATTGATCGGTCGATGATTTTATCTGTCAATGAAGCCACCTTCTTCTTAACACACTTGTGAGTCGTTAGGTGGAAATCATAACAGGCCTGGTAATCTTAAACAAATTTCGTATAATTGTCATGGTAGACGTCACTATAAGCTTGTGGCTTTTTTTAGATTCATCAACCGGTCAAGAAGATGGTTCACCTTACGTACATGAAGCACTGGTGCAATGCTATCCTGTAATATGTTTTGTTTTTATTTTCATATATTAAAACGTGCCAATGTTGAGATAAGATCAGTTCCCTATCACAGTATTATTGTAGATGTATATATTCATAAACAAACCTTAATTTTCTTTTGGTTCAGGTTGAGGGAGAATATTTTTATTAATATTTTGTGAGAAGAATTGAAAGAAGTTTATTCGTAACTTACTTTATGTTCAAGAACAGAAATTTGTATTTTCTCAGTTTATTTTGACAGATATATTCAAATTTAACTGTGTCTTGTATACTTGTTCATACATACTGGGGGTGCATGATGCTATCATACCCGGTATGTGTGTACCGGGGTATTTATAAATTGAATATAAATTGTGTGGTTGTAAATTTTAGCCAAATTTTTTAGTTAAGTAGTCTTACTAGTACATTATAGTTGTCTATCAATTACTTAAAATATTTCACTATTTTTTCTCCAAATTCAGCATTGATTCCAGAGTTAAATTTTCATATTTACCTAATAAGCATTATCCAGCCAGTGGGGATATATGCTTGGTTATAAGGTTTTGTGAGTGAGCTGAGACCCAATACCAGTACACTGTACCGGTATATTTATTAGGAATTAGCAAGACCATGTGCAGCAGTGCACGTTTTCCTCAGCTAAATTGTTTCACAGTCTGATCAAAGGAAGGGGTACTACAGGTCAAGCTACAAGTAGATTCAGAATAGCAGATACTATTATAATGTGTGCATTACCCCTTGATATAACATCATTCACCTCTACTGAATCATGCATATGTAAAGAAAATCAGAATTCCTTTCCATTTATATTTGGGAGCATAATTTTTAGTGAAGTGTGCAGTTGCGCCCCTCCCCTTCCCATTCCCACTTCCTCCTGAGGTGTGGACAGAAACTGCATGTCTTCTGGGTCTTCCAGATGATGTTCAGAATTGTTCAATAAGTTTACAGTGATGGGCATCTAATCTTTTCTGTTGGAAACGGTCAAAAAATGCAGGATGGATCAGCAAGAATAATAATTTGGAAGACTGTGAAAAAAAAAAAAAAAATATATATATATATATATATATGTGCCCCTGTTTGCTATTTAATCCCATATGTATTAGTTTTCATGAAGCCAAATCTTAAGCTGCCTCCTGTAATCTTTCATGACTTATTTTTTTAAGTACAAGTATTGATGACAAGTTGCTGCAAATCACAGATGTTTTGTTGGTTGGTGGGTGTGAAAGCAAGTGATATATGTACTCTTTGACAAGGGGTAGGAGATAAGGGAGGATGTTTCGCTTCAACTACTGTACTAATGCATGTACATGTTTGTTTAACCTGCCACGTACCTTTGCTGTGTTTGTTCATACAAGCATCACAAACTTGGCTTTCAAATTTTGTATAAAAGAACCTTTTAAATGAAAAGTTTCTCAGTCAAATGGCTCCACTTGACTTGCTACCATTTAGAGAGAGCGAGTTCTTTGGACAGCACATATACATTGTAGCTGACAAATACAGTTCTGACCCCAGCAGAAGTGTGTAGTAAATATTTGTTGTGTCTGGGAAGCTATGTATTCATGTTTAATTCATCCACCTGATTCCACCTGCCCAGAAGTTGACCTCAAAAGGTTAAACCTCAGCATGAACATCACAGTTAATATGTAAAGGTGTTTGTTTACACCTCTGACTGGTGGGAGTTTGGGTGATATGGGTAAACAAGGGAATACAGTGCTGACTGTGAATAATGTCCTACTTTTCTAATGCCTCAGTTTTTCTAATATTTTATACATTCATATTGTTTTCAGACACTCAACGTACATTTTTTTGTATACAAAGTTAAAAAAGTTTAAAAAGATTTTTTTTTAGAGTCCGCATCTTTTAGTAGTGTACGACATAATAGGAATTTTTCATTAAAATAGGTAAAACATAATACATATATATATATCAGTCTGTATTTTTGTGTGTTACCTGAGGTGTTAGTAATTACCTCCAGGGTACTAGTAAGTGCCAGAGATGCCAGCCATAGTAAAATGTTTCCACAGCCAGCTGATGCGGTCTTTGACTCAGGGACCATTCCAAGACCCTTTCATACTAACTGTAGATCAATCTATCTCCAAGGGGACTCTCACTAAATTGCAATCAACATAAACAGCTTAGATGTCTGTCACACTTACTGAAGCTGCTAGTAACTGTCATTTGGCAGCTTCAGCGTGCCAGACATCTAAGCCTCTTAAGCTGAAAGCAATTCAGCGAGAATCCCCTTGGAGATGGATCATTCCTGTTAGATAAATCTACAGTAGGTATGGGAACCCAGTCTTATGGCTTAGCAGCTGAAACCTCATACAGCTTGTATTGAACATAACCTAAAAGTCGAGGAGTACCAGTAGTTGTAGCTGGCTATTTCATGGGGGCGGGGGGTGGACAGAGGGTTGGAGGAGGGGCTTTTCTGAAAACATTGCACCTTTTTTTTTTTACCCTGGGGTCCCTTAATTGACCCAACTTAAAATGGCATTTATTCTAGAACAAAATTTGATTCAGAGTAATCACCTTTTACTGCCGAAAAAGAAAAGTCTTAGAATAAAAGATGGGGGAGAGGAGAAGATGAATGATCCAAAACCTTACTTACAATGGTTGAAATATAATAGAAATATTTGTAAACAAATATTTTTTTTTCATCTTTATAAAAAATACAGAACACATTCACTTTGTTTGAATAAGGACAAAATCACTGTGGCTGGCAGTTCATTATCATGCAGCCTGAACATTCAATATATAGCCATGGTTAGAATTGATCAAAATATGTCCCAATTCCCTCTAGGAGATCCATACACTGTACTTTTATACCTCAGTGCTAACAGTTACATGGAGTAACCATTGATTACAGCTGCCAGCTTTATAGAACTCATTTATAGATTTCATTTTACAAACTAAGGTGATGGTTCCTTCTTTTCAATGGGCAAAACTGATCAACCTTTCAGATGTACATGATTTTATAATCACAAAAAAATTATATTTATGTTAAACATTTGTGGTGTTTTTACTGTATAGAATAGAACTAAAGGGTAGCCTGCTTTTGACTTTTGTTGCTACCACTCTATAGCAATGTCCTGATTTCAAGAAATTGCAACTTAAAAAATAGCATATATGTGTAAAATTCACAATGTTCCCCCAAAGGATTGAGTACTAGTAAATTATACTATTCATTTTCTATTTATCCGCTGTCTTAAAAAGGGTTTTGAGAGGGATAATTGCTCCACATGCAATATCTGTTAAGAAAAAAAGACAATTGTAAAATGAAAATTTGATAATTTCATATCTTAAACAAGGAAGTCATACATTGTACCATACAATTATATCCGATATAATTCCCTGGTCATACCAACAAAAAGTAAAGAACTATAATCCAATGACAAATTTTACTCATTTTTAAGTTTTCTAGGTTTTCAATCACTCTCATATTGGAACCATCCCGCAAGAAAACGCTGTAGATACTCCAGCGCAGTAGACTACTGCAATCATACTGCAAACATGCTTCAAATCTGCTTCGATTTGGGAGCTAATTAGCATATTTGAAACATGCTTCTATCATGCTGCTAATCTACTGCATTAATGCTCTTCTCTGTACAAACCTATGTACTTTTTGGAGTAGAATTGCAGTAGGCTATACTGCATTTCTACTGCAAATATGCTCCACACCACTACTGCGTTAATGCTTTTTTGCTACTTCGATACTACTGCATTTTCGTACGGGATAGACTAGGGAATTTCATTGGTAGCATTTAAGCAGAAGTGTAGAACTCGGAACTTATATGTAATTGTAACTTTCCCATAGGTTTTGGCTTATACATGTTAGGGTTTCCTCAATAATTATAATACCTTCATGATAAAAGATATTATTTTTAATTTGCAGGAAAATTAAAATATTTATTTTAAAATATATTTTTGTGCTACATACTAGTTAAAGTAACACCAATTGAATGCCTGTAAATGCCTTGTGTCTGTAAAAGGCTGTAAAAGGCATACATGTATTATCCTCTTAATTATTTTTACTTTTATCTAGAGCGAAAAGTAGAGAAAAGGTCATGAATAAACCAGAAACACATCTGTAAATATCTAATGAAAAATCAATCTGTGGCCCTGGTAGAGGTTACATGTATTACATATATCTATAGACCCTTCACCTCCTCTGGCCAAGTTACAAATGTATATCACCCTGAGTCTCAAAGGTTACTAGAAAACATAACCTTCATCATCAATATTCCTTTCTAGTTTCCAATTCTTGGTGTGTTGATGAGAGAGAATGGGTTCACAGCAGGGCTTTTCCCAAGGATTGGGGTACAGTCTGTCCAAAATTACCACCTGTAATTTCCTACAAAATTTCAGGGAGTCCAAACCATTTTTTCTCAAAAAAATTCATAAGCTGTCCAGCCGTCTTTGAAAATATTGGCTACCTGGTGATGCCAGTGGCAGTCCAAATGATGGCTGGACAGTTTTCTGGGAAAAGACTTGGTTCGCAGTAATGTCTGAGACTCGGGGTACTCACCCCAAACATTTACCTGGAATACCTGGCTGAAACCCAGTTACAGGTGAGATGATTTCTGTCCAGAACTAAACATATTGCCAATTTTCACGTCACATCTAATTCTGCTTAGAGATCAGCCCACACAACTGTAATAGTACAGGGTACATGAAACTCTTCACTGACAACTACCAGAACATTGTCAGTACCAGTAGTAGTGTAATACACAAACAAATCAACAAACAAACAAACAATCAAAGCACTTATTACCTGAACACACACCCCCCCCGCCCATCCACCTTCCATCCTGCCTCTCCCCTCTGCCCTCAAAACACATTAGCATGTGAGAGTTTACAACAAGCACAAAATGAAAGGTGCTTTGTACTTTTTTAATATTTCAAAAGGTTCGACTAACATTTGCAGGAATGTTACTGCCAGGAAAGGTTACACTGATATATATACTCTGATCTTTACCTTACTTGTTATTATTTAGTTCAGTATAATGTTACTGCCAGGAAAGGTTACACTGATATATATATATATATATTAGTCAAATGGTCATATACCGGGTATATATATATACTCTGATCTTTACCTTACTTGTTATTATTAAATTCATTGTAAGGTTACTCAAAAAGTACCTGTATATTAACATTGTTTTGGGAGTGTGAGCTCATTAAAAAAGTTTTTTTTATTTATTTATTTATTATTTTCTTCTTTTTTGACTAATATTAGGGGCATTCCGTGGTATTTGTTTTGCATTATGGACGGAATTTTGACACTTTAAAAATAAATTCTACAAGAACTATAATACATAAATTGTTCAAATTTGGCAGGA